TTTGTTCCTAGAAGTATATGGGGGCTAAAAAAACCTTTTTGATCTTTTAAAACCTCATATGAAAAGGGCCCAAAATCTTATAAATATTTGGGACTTTTTTAAATGATTTCAGGGGGCCCTTTTTTTTTTAAAAACCATCCAATAAAGCATTTAATGAAAAAAAAAACGTTCAAAAATTTTTTAAATTTTTAATCTTTTTCTAAAAATTTGGAATTTTGGGGTTTCAACTGATGTTCAACAACTGTAACTAATTCCTGAAAAGTCATTTAGCTCCATCCAGTAAACCCCTTGGGGAAAGGGCTGTAAATTTTAAAAATGGAAAATTATAAATGAATAAGGGAAAATCCGGGGGAACTTGTGGGCCCAAAGTATGAATTATTTTACTTTATTTTTATTGATAAGGTAAAAATTATTCTGTAACACTAAAAAATTTATAAATTAAAGGGTGCATTTTAAAGGTTTAATTGAAGAAACCAAAATCAAAAATTTTTTTATTGGTAAAGATATTTAAAAAAATTAGACGGGTTTAAACTAAGATAAAAAATAAGTCAAATGCAAAAAAACCCTATTTGGGCAAATTTCCCTACATATCATTGCAAATTTAAAACATGACTTACTTTCAAAAAAAGTTTTTTAAAATTCCCCTTTTCTTTTAAAACAAAAAGGGTTTTTAAAGAAAAAAATTTTTTTGGAAATGGTATTTATAATGGCAATTTTTTAAAAATTCAAAATTCCAAAAAAAATTTTTGATACCCTTTACCTTTAAATACCTTCAATCAAAATGTAAATAAAATCCTAAGAGGGAATTTTTTTATTTTTTTTCGTAACTGATTGTGTTTTTAAAATTCGGTTTAGTTTTGAACTATTATTATATTTACAACATGCATGTCAAATTTTAGTAATTTTTTACAAAAATTTTTAAAAATTTTTGTGATTTTATTTTCTTTTTAAACATCATCCCTTTGGAATGGATTGGGAAAAATAGAAAAGGGTTTTTATTTCTCCCATCTGGTCAAATCGAAAATAAAAAATTAAATTCACCCAAAATTTAAACATTTCCCATCATTCATAACATTATTCCACAAAAAAATATTACATGTTATATTCAGGGCACCTTAAATTCATATTTTTTATATTTACGGATTCAGACAAACTACCGGGACAATACCATGTACCATGATATTCTTACTTTTTAGTGGGAAAGAATTAAATTTTTTGGTTTAATTTAATTATTTTTCAAAAACATCATAAGGTTTTTTTTTTTTCCCCCCCCACAAAGGGGGGGGGGGGGGCATTTAGATTTACCCTTTTCCTCCCGCCCAACCTCACTACCAAATAGGAATAGGGGGAAAATCAACTTTTAAACAGAACAAAAGAGAACAGAAAAATTCATTCCGTAACAAATATATAAGGTGGCCATGGCCCTTGAAAATAACAAGTAGTTTTTTAATCATTTTGGCGGCCTCCGTCCTGTTTCTCTTTTTTGTATGGCATGAATTTAAAAAATAATTGACCTAGAGTCATAAACCTCACAGGAATGTTTATCAGCATGTGATGTTGTGTACCTGGGTATTTTTTCATGTGATATATTCTAGTATTTTGGCAGTTATGCCCTTGACTTAGTAAAATTTGCAATTTTTACTTGTGTCGCAAGTTAGACTTAAAAAAATATTTGACCTAGAGTCATGAAACCTTTACAGAAATGTTGATCAGCATGTGTGTTGTGCACCTGGGTATTTTTGTTTGTGGAATATATTAAGTATTTTTTGGGAGTTATTGCCCTTGAAAATTAGTAAAATTTCCAATTTTCAACTTGTGTCACACGTAACTCAAAAAATATTTGACCTAGAGTCATGAAACCTTACAGGAGGTTGTAGTTGTGCACCTGTATTTTGTTGTGTGGATATATTTAGTATTTTTAGAGTTATTGCCCTTGATTTAGTAAAAATTTATAATTTGTGTCGCATGTAACTCAAAAAGTATTTGACCTAGAGTCATGAAACCTTCCAAAATGTTGCTCAGCATGTGAAGTTGTGCACCTGGGTATTTTGGTGTGGATATTTATAGTATTTTTAGAGTTATTGCCCTTGACTAAGTAAAAATTCAATTTTCAACTTGTGTGGCACGTAGCTAAAAAAAGCCATTGACCTAGAGTCATGAAACCTTACAGGAAAATGTTGCTCAGCATGTGCAGTTGTGCACCTGGGTGTTTTCCTGTGGATATTTCTAGTATTTTTGGAGTTATTGCCCTTGACTTAGTAAAATTTTTACAATATTCAACTTGTGTTGCACATAACTCATAAGTATTTGACCTGTACACCTGAAAGTTTACAAGATGTTTGTCAGCATGTGTAGTTATGCCACCTTGGGTTTTTCTTTGTGGATTTATTCATTATTTGTAGTATTTGCCCATTTACTTAATAAAAGATTGTTAGTTTTTCAACTTGGGCAACATGTAGCCAAAAAAAAATTTGACCTAGAGACCTAATATTGACAAATTGGTGGACTGTGGGGGGCACCCGTGTTCCTATGGACACATTTCTAGTTTATTTTCTATCTTACTCGTAGATTTCAATTATACTTAGTCACCTAAGCAATATTTTAAACTTTTCCTTCCATATGTACCTATGGATTTCCATATAGAGTGTGCTGCATGGAATTAGATGAACCATAATTTTATTTGAGCTATCAATAATTTTAAAAAGCTCAGATAAAAAAAATTGTGGCGGAATTAAAAGATATTGAATAATAAAATGGGATTTAATTCTTCTTATGGTTACCTTTTATTTGATACAAATTTGAACAAGAAATGTCAAACGACACATATGCCCCCCTTTATAGGTAATTTTGTTATATGAAACTTGTATGGAAGTGTTCAATTATGGAAAAAAGAAAAAAATAATGACCTACTAGTTTAACCAATCAATATGTAAAATGTAAAGACCTTGACCTTTGACTGAACAAGTGATCCAAAATCAATAGGGGTCATCTACTACATATGGCTATTCATCTATGTGAAATAAGAAGTCTTTGTGATAAATAGTTATCATGATAATGAGCAGAAACTATTCTGACATTTAAGGCTCCTGTGAGCTTGACCTTTAACCTGTGACCCCAACATCAATAGGGGTCATCTACTAGTTATTACCAATCAGTATGTGAAATATGAAGACTTTGTGATAAAGTTTTGAAGATAATGAGCGGAAATTATAAAGACACAGAAGGCCCCTGTGACTAGGTCAAGGTCAAGGTCACAGGGGCCTTAGATATCAAAATGGTTTTTGCTGATTATCTTGAAAACTATTTATGAAAAAGTCTTTATGTATCACACAGTGATTGTCCATAACTAGTAGATGACCCTAGTTGATTTTGGGGTCAAAGGTCAAGGTCACAGGGGTCTCTAATGTCAAAATGGTTTCCGCTTGGCCATAACTTATTTTTTGGGTCACTAGGTTAAATGTCAAGGTCACAGGGGCCTTAAATATCAGAATAGTTTTTTCGCTCATTATCTTGGTTACTATTTATCACAATGTCTTCATATGCCCACATTACTGATTGGGCATAACTAGTAGATGACCCCTATTGATTTTGAGGTCACAAGATGAAAGGTCAAGGTCACAGGGGCCTTAAATGTTAGAATGGTTTCTGTTCATTATCTTTATAACTATTTATCACAAAAATCTTCATATTTCACATATTAATTGGTCAAAACTAGTAGATGACCCCTATTGATTTTGGGGTCACTAGGTAAAAGGTCAAGGTCACAGGAGCATTGAATGGTAGTATGGTTTTCGCTCAATATCTTTGAAAGCTTGTTATCACAAAAGTTTTCATATTCACATAGTGATTGGTCATAACAAGTAGATAACCCCTATAGATTTTTGGTTCACTAGTTCAAAGGTCAGGGTCACAGGGGCCTGGAATGTCAAAAGAATGGTTTCCCTCATTATATTTGATTTCTATTTATCACAAAGTCTTCATATTTCACATTTTGATTGGTCATTATTATTAGATGACCCCTATTTATTTTGGGGTTACTAGGTTAAAGGTCCAAGGTCAACATGTGCCTTAAATGTCAGAATGGTTTCTGCTCATTATCATGAAAACTGTTTTTATCACAAAGTCTTCATATCTTCACATTTGAATAGCCATATATAGTAGATGACTCCTATTTGATTTTGAAATCACTAGTTCAAAGCGTCACAGGGGCCTTAAATGTAAATATGGTTTTGCCCTTATTACCATGAAAACTTTAATCACAAATTAGTCATAATTGGGGTCACTAGTTCAAAGGTCAAGCACTTTATATTTCACATAATGGATTGGTTTTAACTAGCAGTCATTATTTTTCTTTTTTCCATAACTGAACACTTCATGTACCCATCTATGGCAAGTTTCTATAACAAAATTTCCAAATATGTGAGTCAAGGGCTAGAAAGGGGGCATAAGATTGTGTTGTTCGACTTTTCTTGTTCTCTGCATTTTATCAACTGATATGGATAAAACCAGTGATGTGTGAGATGTTATGTTAGCTTTATATGAACATATATAATTATACAAGCCCACTTTTATGACTAAATTCAGATAGGTCCAGAAACTGAAAAAGGCAGAAATGAAGATCATGAACTCAACTTTTTCATATTTCTATCATGTTTTTGTGTTTCACCTACACAGCCTACACTCAAATAAAATATTCCGTTTTTTGTGTGGTTGATGCTTGGAATCAATTAGATAGATGTTGTTCATGCATGCCCAAAAATTTTACTTAATGAGAAGTAAAAAGGTAGTCATTTGATCAATGTGCCACTTACTTGCATTAATATGCATCATTATTTGAAATTTATAGGTTTGAAAATGTTATTCAACCTTGGGTCTTTATTTTTTTGTGTTTTTTTTTTTCAATGGCGCATAATGGTTTATTACAGCTCATTCACTATCATTAATGAATTATTTTTTTCTAATTGTTTTCAAAATGTTTCTTTCTGCTGCTTTTTTTCTAGAAATTGAATTAGGATCAACTGGATGTTCAACAACTGTATTTGATTCCTGTATGTCACTTTATGCTACATGCCAGTCAAATGGAGGAAGCTGTACATGTAACGATGGATATTATGATGATAATGGAAGTCGGGCTGGTGAACTTGTAGGCAAAGTATGAATTATATTTACTTTATTTTTATCCAAAAATGTCAAATTGAAGATATTGATTTTGTTACGGGCTGAAAACTAATGACAAATAATTGACATGAAGGTGATTAAGTTTATTTTAAATAAATAAGGTTGTCAAAAGTATTTGATTCTTTAAGATTTACCCATTGTCTGTCTATCAATCCATCTTGTCCGTTCTCATTTTGCGTTGCATGTAGCTCAAAAAGTATTTGATCTAGAGTCATGAAACTCTTACAAGAATATTGCTCAGCATCCTAGGTATGTGCCTTTAAATGACCTCAAATAAGTAGAAAAGTCTGATTCAGGGGCAGATACCTCAAAAACGAGAACGGTGACCCCAATTTTCTTTCGCTATAAATGTTTCTGTTATCATATTCTAACAACATGCCAAGTTTAAAAGAAATTCTATTGAACCGTGAGTATTAATTTTGCCTATCTGTCTATATGAAAACTCCCAAAATGTCCTTAAGAATCATATGCCCTTTAATTATATAAAAAAACATTATTTTGTTTATGGTACTCCCTTCATATAAAATTGTGATGTCAGGTAGGGCATTTATGTGTTGCATGATAAGACGTTTTGAAAGTGTTACAATTATCAAATATACATTTCATTGAATGTAAAAAACTTGCAATCTAAATGTGTTCTTCCTTTTTCTAGAAATTGAATTAGGATCAATTGGATGTTCAACAACTGCAACCACTGATTCCTGTAAGTCACCACATGCTACATGCCAGTCAAGTGGAGGAAACTGTAGATGTAACAGTGGATATTATGATGATAATGGAGGTGGGGCTGGTGGAACTTGTACTAGAAGTATGTAATATATACTGAACTAATAACAATGAAATCTATGACAATAATTGAAATAAAGTGGTAAAGTTTTTTGGCAAAGTAGGAAACTAACTTTTCCCAAACATCATAAATATATTTTTTAGTTGACATAATTATTATATTTAAGTCTGAATATTGGACTAGTTATACCCCCACCACAATATGTTGGGGGGGGGGCTATAATGGATTCGCTTTGTCGCATCAGTCGGCTTAAGGTCAAGGTCACACTTGAAGGTCAAAAATTGACTTAGAAAATATTCTTAAATTTTAACATGTATTTGAATATTTCTGAAACTAGAAAAGGTATTTGCTTGAAACTCAAAATATATACGAAGTGTCGCAAGTAAGCTATGCAGGTCAAGTTTCATAACCAAAAAATTGGGGAAGGGGGGATAACTTTGTATTGTATTTGTCAAAGTTTAAAGTCCATTTTTATGTCTTTAAATTTATTTACTATAATATTTCTTAAACCAGAACAGATATTTACTTGAAACTTAATATTTATATGAATGGTTACAAGCAAGCTCAGATGACTAAAATTTCATTGAATTATGACACAAGTTATGCCCCATTTAGGCTTAGAAAATGTAACCATTAATACTTAAATGTTTCTGAAACTAGAACAGATATTCACTTGAAACTATATAATATATGAAGGGTCACAAGTAAGCTCAGTATGCAAAGTTTTTCCACTCTTAATTACATTTTGACATAATTATGCTATTTTCTTAACTTCACTGCTTTTGTTTGTTTTAGTACATTGGGAAAATGAAAGGTTATTTGTAACTGTTTCGAACATGATTTGACAATATATATTTATACTATTACCTGTACAATTTGTCTTTTTTTCACCAGAGATAATTTCTTTTTATGTATATGTATTTGTGCCACTAAAGTTATTCCCTTAACCACCTTTCCAAGTCGTCTTCTGTCAAGGACATTGGTGGGGGTATGAATCGCATTCAGCGATAGTTCTAGTTGTCTATAAAAAGTGCATTTTTAACCCTGACACAATAATGCAGCACTGTACATTACAGACAGCTTGTGTTTTACAAAGTCCACCTAGTATTTTATCATGATTGTTTTGTGTGTTTTTGTGTTGCCTTCTATAAGTAGCAGTGACATAATATGCTTCACTTCTCCATTGTCTGTCAATCTGTCACAAAACTTGTGCGGACTACTCCTAAAAAATTACTCTTGAAATTTCATCCAAACTTTTCAGGACTTGTCAGTACTAATGTTAGGTATGCATATCGTCTGCGTTTTACAGTGAAATTGTTTAGTCAGGGTTATGGTCCTTAATTATTTTTCATTAGCTTTAAGAAAATGTCGAGTGATTTTGATTATTGCAGCATCATCTATATTGTCTTTGTTGGTGTCGTTGTGCAAAACCTATTCAAAAATTTCAGAAGGTATCAAACATCAAACTTGGAATGTTTGCTTATCACTAGTAGTTGAATGGTAAGGGGCATAATTCTGACAGCAATATTTCTTGTGTTATGCCTCTTTTTAAAATAGAATATTTTTCAGACGAGCATTAAAACTGTATGCTGTACTCCTAATTTTTAAGTTTTTTCCTGTCTAATTCTCCTAAACTTATAATGCAATTTAAATGAAACTTTACAGGATTGATCACCTTAAATACTCTCGCATATTTTCTGGTTGAATAATTTAGGACTGAGTTGTGGCACTTTAATAAAAAAGGCATTGTTTGTCTACTACACCGTAGCTGCAACATGCTACATGCTACAAAGTTGCCAACAAACTGTCCAGTCGCCCCTCAATACAATTGCTTTATTTGTTATTATCAAGCTAAACATGTGATCACTGCTAACTTTTGTTTTGTCAGGGAAAGTTTTAGGAGCCGTGTGTTCAAATATACCAAATGAATGTGCTAATGCCAATGCTGCCTGCCTGGATAAAAAGTGCACATGTGGTTCCAATCACTACGATAATAATGGTTTTGATGCGGGTGGAAGCTGTGAAAGTGGTAAGGTTCTATTTTTCATTTTAAATTACTGTATAAGTGATTAAGCAATGCAAGAATGTTGACGAATTCCGTGAATGAAGAAAATTGCTAAAATTTCATACCATTCCACAATTGGCTTACTTTACGACACATGGAAATATCCACTTATACGGTATATTTTTGCAAACATAAGGTGAAAAAAATTAAAAGTAAACCATAGAGTCACTGTTTGAAACATAGTGTGAAATTTCAACATTTATTTCTTTTTCTCCTTTTCATTTGTTAATCTAGGCCATAATTTTAAAGAATATGTATACTACCATTATAAGCTACAAAAATGTAATAATAGTATGTAATAATAGTATTTCAACTTTTTCACCTAGTAACAAATAGTCATTTCATTACTATCCTAATTTTATGAAAATTATAAATGAGGATATTTAAGAGTAGTATAACTTACAATTTAACATTAGGCCCAAGTTCTGGTTGCATTGTTCTGGTTGAAGTTTAACTTCAACTTGTAATCCATGTAGCTGAGGTTTTTAGCTCACCTGTCACAAAGTGACAGGGTGAGCTTTTGTGATCGCTTTTCGTCCGGCGTCCGTCCGTCCATCGTCCGTCCGTAAACTTTTACTTTAAATGACATCTCCTCATAAACCGCTGAGCCAATTTCATCCAAACTTCACAGGAATGTTCCTTTGGTGGTCACCTTTAAAAATTGTTCAAAGAATTTAATTCCATGCAGAACTCTGGTTGCCATGGCAACCGATAGAAAAAACTTAAAATATCTTCTTTTAAAAAACCCAAAGAGGTAGAGCTTAGATATTTGGCATAAAACATCTTCTAGTGAGTGTCTATCAAGTTTGTTCAAATAAAAGCCCTGGGGTCAAAATTGGCCCCGCCCCAGGGGGTCATTGATTTTCCCTATATGCATATAGTAAAAACTTATAAAATCTTCTTTTAAAGAACCCAAAGAGCTAGAGCTAAGATATTTAGCATGAAACATGTTCTAATGAGTGTCTACCAAGTTTGTTCAAATAAAAGCCCTAGGGTCAAAACTGGCCCCGCCCTAGGGGTGTCATTGCTTTTAACTATATGTGTTTTGTTAAAACTTAAAAAATCTTTTTTTTTTAAACTCAACGACCTAGTCCTTAGATGTTTAGCGTGAAATATCTTCTAATGAGTGTCTACCTAGTTTGTTCAAATAAAAGCCCTGGGGTTTAAACTGGCCCCGCCCTGGGGGCCTATATACAGGTGAGCGACTTCAGGGCCATCATGACCCTCTTGTTTAGCTCACCTGTCTTAAAGTGACATGGTGAGCTTTTGTGATCGCTTTTCTTCCAGCATCCGTCTGTCCGGCGTCTGTAAACTTTTACTGTAAACAACATCTCCTCATAAACTGCTCAGCCAATTTCATCTACACTTCACAGGAATGTTCCTTTTGTAGTCAACTTTAAAAATTGTTCAAAGAATTTGATTCCATGCAGAACTCTGGTTGTCATGGCAACGAAAGAAAAAACTTAAAATCTTCTTTCAAAAATCTAAAGAGCTAGAGCTTAAATATTTGGCATGAAACATCGCCTGGTCAGTGTCTACCAAAGTTGTTCAAAAAAAAGTCCTGGGGTCAAAATAGGCCCCGCCCCGGAGGTCATTGATTTTCCTGATTTGTATAAAGTAAAAAAAATAAAAATTCTTCTTTAAAAACCCATTTCCTTTATGTATTAACTGAGGAAGCTGTTTTAATACTTAAATTTGTGTTTGTTTTTTATTCAATTGTCCTATCTTTAAAAAACCGAAATAGCTAGAGCTTAGATATTAAGCATGAAACATCATTTAGTAGGTGTCTACCAAGTTTGTTAAAATAAAAGCCCTGGGGTCAAAATTGGCCCTGTTCCAGGGGGTCATTGTTTTTCCCTTTATGTATATAGTAAAACTTAAAAAATCATCTTTAAAAAACCCTAAGAGCTAGAGGTAAGATATTTAGCATGAAACATCTTCTAATGGGTGTCTACCAAGTTTGTTCAAATAAGGGCCCTGGGGTTCAAATTGGCCTCGCCCCGGGGTCATTGATTTTCCTTATATGTGTATAGTAAAAACTTAAAAACTCTTCTTAAAAAAAACCCAAAGAGCTAGAGTTAAGATACAAAGCATGAAAAATCTTCTAGTGAGTGTCTACCAAGTTTATTCAAATAAAAGCCCTGGAGTCAAAATTGGCCCCACCCATGGGGGGGGTCATTGTTTTTCCCTATATGTGTGTAGTTAAAATCTTCTTTTAAAAACCTCAAATAGCTAGAGCTTATATATTTATCAGGAAACATCTTCTAATGGGTGGCTACCAAGTTTGTTCAAATAAAAGCCCCTGGGTTTAAATTTGCCCCTGCCTGGGACCTATATACAGGTGAGCGATTTCAGGGCCATCTTGTTTAGAATTACAGGGACTACTTGTCAATCTGCGAACATTTCTATAATATTTTAAGTGGTTATGCACCAAATAAAATAAATATTAATGAAAAATAAGCCAATATAGATGGTCTCTGTATTTTTGTCAGACTGGCAATGTCATCCTTAATGCCTGCTAAAACAGAAATAGAATTTTCTAAGTATTCTATTTTGATTTTAAAAAGAATTTGAAGATGCTAACATTTTGCACTTCTTTACATATAAATCTCAATTCTGTTTCAGTAACTGATCTTAGAGTCACTAGCATAACATTCCAATCAGTAACAACTTCAGGATTTAAAGTTTTATGGACACCCCCTTCAAGAGGAGAAGCATCTCACATTAACAAGTATGAAGTAGAATGGAGTCTTAAAATTTCTGACACTAGCCTGCGGGGAGGAAAAAGTGTGGTCCCTGCCAGTACTACATCCTTTGATATCAGTTCTGGTGTAACAGCAGGAAAGACATCTAATGTGAAGGTGATATCTGTAAACACTAATACTAGGCACGGTCATACTCGGACAACATCGTTGACATCGGAGCAAGCTTCAAGTAAGTTTTATCTTTTGGCGGATTAAATTAGAGACAGGAATAATGTGAATATATATCTTAAAAACATGTTATGTATGACTTTTGTCATTTATTTAACAAATAGGTCATTGATCTTCTGCATTGGCTGAGAAATTCCGAAATGATTTTTTCTTTTAGCACACTTGAGTACAAAATGCTGAAGGGTGAACTAAAAGCTTTGTTCATTTGTACATTGTCTATTATCTACATCAGTTCTTTGCACTCCATAGGTCACAATTTAATTTAAGATATTGATTAAACCTTTTCTAGAGGTTTTAGAGACCAGAGTCTATCTAAGCTTGTAACACAATTCTGAAAATACTGATAGCCTTAACTATTTTGTCATTATTTTGCAAACAATACTTGACAAAAGGGGCATATGAAAGTTGTTTTGATAATTTCTAGCTCATATTAGAATATTCATCATCTGGGAGTCAAAAACAAACCACACTGGCCAAATATGGAAGAAAAAAAAATACATTTGCACAATTTCAGATGCAGATATGAATATTGTGTTATAAGTTTATGATAAAATCATTTTATCTACCTTTTGTTCAAAGTGAACACTATTAATTGTTCCATTTATATAAAGCTTTATATTTACTGCATGAAGTTTACTGTATCATTGTTTGAATTTTGAAAAACAAACTTCCGAAAAAACCTGTATGAAAGAAATAATTTTGTATATTAGTTAAGAGCAAATAGTGCACTCACAAATTTATGCTTAACAGTACTGTTAAAGGGGTATATAGGTAAAATTTATATCTGTTATTTCTGAATTCTTCATCATATATTCTATTAATGTCATCAAAATAAATAAACTTAGCAGTCTAAGATACAAAAAGAATATCCTAGTATTTAGATCTTGTCCATATAAACTGTATCCTCTTTTGAACTATATGGCTCTCTTATTTTTGGTGACTAATGGATTCCTAATTGGTTTATTGTATTTGAAATCAAATAATCAAGAATATTAAGGACAATAACTGTTGAATACCTATATTACATCAATTTTAATCATTTCAGTATTTACTGTCAAATCACAGTACATGTATTATAAGATCATTTCAGTAAATTGTAAAAAAACTTAATCAGTTGACCTACTTTTGTCGTTCCTCAATGCTCATACTTAGATTTTTATACATGCTTAAAGAATTGTAATTTGATTGTGTTTTTTTGTTGTTTGTTTGTTTGTTTGTGTGGGGATATTTTGCAACAAGGTAAGATAAAAATAAACACTATATTATAGACAAATATGTTGTATCAGAAGTTCAGTGATATGTTACATGTGTAATTAAAAGTTATACAGAAAGTGAAGAGGCAATTCAGTTACAACTTTTGTAAATATATTTTTATCAGTTTATAAGTCATTTATATTATCGTTGTTGTTTTTTCAGAACCAAACAAACCAAGGTTACTGACAACTCTAGATTTAGATGCTACAGATCAGCGGATAAACATTGGCTGGAGTGCCCCTATGAGTGGTGTTGCTACTTCTTATAGAGTACAATTATTTGATGGTACAAGTGAGCTAACAAGCAGTGAAACTTCTCAAACTTCTAGCAACATTTATAACATAACAATGAAAAATGGTTATCATTATGATGTGAAAATTTCAGCAAGAAGTGAACTTTATCAGGGATCAAGCTATGAATGGAGTGATTTATATGTGGAACAAATCACAACAACAGTACAGGGTAACTATACTGATTGTTGTTGTTTGAAGTAGGTGATTTGTTCTTATTTGAACATAATAAATTGTTGATTTTTTGCTAATGGTAATTTCATTGGGGGAGATTATTGAAATGTAAATAAGGATATTTAATGAGTCAGTCACTTTGCATATGAATGTCTGTAGCCAATCATTTGAAGAAGTTCCAACTAAGTTTTTCTGAAACATTGTTAACTTGACAGCTTACTTGAAAAATAAACTTGTTAGCAATGAAGCATGATCTGTGAGTTCTTGTTTGAAACTGTATGTCTGTAAATCATTACAGAATTGTATCAGTCTTTTGCAAACACAGACAATGAAACATTTTGTATTTCTTCTCTGCCTCAAAGAATTTATTCAGATATAAAGTGTAAGTTTTGAATAATTATGTTCTAATTATTTTTCAGTACCAAATCCTCCAACAGAAGTTAAATGTGATATGCTGAAAGTTGAGTCTATCACATTGACATGGTTAAAACCATTGGTTCCAAATGGAGATCTTGTCAGATTTAACATTGAGGTTTTTAATACGAGTAATGATTTGTTATTTTCTACCAGCACTTTTGAAGTTGTTGAAACTTATCAAGTGGCGCAACTCAGTCCAGGTACGACTTATGATTGTAGCAGCGCGATAGATAAAAATGTATAAAATTGGTTTAAATTTATGAATTAATATTGTACTTAGTTTTTTTCTTTTCTATAGAAATGCTAAAATGAGCTTGACATTAATGTGATCCAGACAACTAGTGGATTAGTATTTTTACCTTGTCTATCAATCCATCTGTTAAATAATACTTTTAGCTTTTCTTGTTGACGAGTTATTGTCATGATATGGTTAATATTTTGTGTCCATTTTCTCAGAGCCTGTCAAAGCAATTTACTTCAAACTAGGTATATTGGTTCAATTTAAAAATTTAAATGCCAAATTTTAAATGCAAATAATCAAAACATATTTATAAAGGTTTTACCCTTTTTGGTCACTTGAGTACAACATGCTCAAGGTGGGCTATTGTGATACCCGTGTCCGGCGTCTGTCGTTAACACTTTGATACACCCGAAAAAAATCAGTATGGATTGTTATGTACCTGGTCATCTGTACTTCTGTCCATCTGCTAGCATTTTGTCCGGTCTGTCTCTTTGAACCGCTGGAATGGTTTCAATGCCAAGAGCTTAGCATGAAACATTGCCTTGTGTTAATGCATTTAAAATTGATATTATTTATTCCCATGAAGTCAATATTGGCCTTCCCTTGGGTCACTTGATTAAAGGAAAATACATTTAATTTTGTGAAACAACAAAGCCCAGAAAACTAGATATTTGGCATGTAGCATCAAATTTGTAGTTTTCTACAAACGTTATATAAATAATGAACCTCAGGTCGAGATTTGCCTTTCCCCTGGAGTCATTGTTTTAACTAGACTAACGTATAGGAAAATACATCATAGCTTTTTGCGGATAAATTCTCTGTTTCAATATTTGGCATATATATAGTATTGCCTAGTAGACCTCTCTAAAAGCTATTGTCCCCTGCCTTTTCGAAGAAAAAGAAGGATAAAGAAATATATATCGTCCGTCCGTCATATATTCATGTCCGGTCAGAAACCATGTCAGTTATCAATTTGAAATATTTTGGCACAAATGTTTGTTATAATAGGACAATGTGTCATGCACCACAACCAACCCCTACCTCTAAGGTCACACTTAGTGTTTTAAGGTCAAAACTGTTTATTTGATGGTATATGTCGTGCCCGGTCCATAACTTTCTTATCCATGAAGGGATTTTAAAAATATTTGGCACAAATGTTCACAATAATAAAACAATTTTTCATGCGCAAAAACAATCTACTAACCATCAAGGTCAAGGTCATGGTTTATGGTCAAAGATTAGCATAGTTTGTTACAGGGTATATTTTGTGTCCTGTCCATAACATTTTCATAGATCAAAGGATGTTAAAATTATTTGACACAAATTATTTACAATAGTAAGACAATGTGTCATGCTTAAAAATTAGTCGCTTACCTCCAAGGTCAAGTTCACAATTGAAGGTGAAAGATTAACATAAACTGCTATAGGGTATATTATGTTTCTATCATTGATCAAAAATTTGCACTGAAAATCCAGATCCATTTTTTTGAAATAGCACAATTTTGTGCTTCATGTAAAACTTCCTTTAGGCGGGTGATGTTGGTAACTCTTATACAAATTTTTGTATAAATCATGCACTTAGGGTAAAAATGCCTTCTCCTTGGAAGTCATGTAGTAACATAAGCATAATTAAGACGAATTTCTAGATTGGGTCATTACCTTAATTGAAAAAACTTTTTATTCGATTACTCAAACAAATTACATACATTCAGGCATATTTTGCCCTGCCTTTCCAGTGCTCTTGTTTCTGAAACCCAAACACCAATAGTGATGAAACTATTCAGGAATTATCCTGAGCTTGTCCTTTCCAATCACTGCTTAAATGGATGCAGTGTGATAACAAGATGGTCGCTAGTGCAAAAAGTTAAAAATGTTAAATGAAATCATGGTCTCCACTGCCTGATAGCTTTTGACAAAACTCTATATAATTAACATTGGGCAGTCCTTTATTATTTTTTTCAAAATTTGCTTTAATTGTACGGTTTGTTAAACAAATGGCTTTAAGAGATAAAAATTGAAAACGATAAGTCCTTAAGTTTATCTTCTATTTGTTTTTAACAAATTTATTTAAGCTCGATTGGGAAACATGGTCGTGACCCGATTAGGGCTCGAACCGTGATCCCTGGGTTGAATGACAGACACCTTAACCACTAAGGCAGCGCTCCTCTTTAAATTGTTAATTGGGTCGATTTTGATGAAACTGTTCATAAATGGTCATTGGATGGTCCTCTTTTAAAGTTGCTCATATGGTTCCACTCTGCTAATAAAGGTTGTCGTCAAAGCTAAAAATAAATATTTTTAAGAATTCAAGTCACAATTTAAAAGTTTTGTTCAGTATAAATATACTTTATAAGTAATAATAATATGAAAGGTATTAATTCAACAAATTTATTCTTTTAGTACACCCATCCCTTCACACTAAAATTTGTAAAAATTATGTTTCTACCCGTGTCTCAATCTCGTTCATTTGACCCTTCTGCTCAGGTGAGCAATTTGGCCATCTTTTTTTTACTTACATTATTACCAGATTTAATTATCCAACAAATTTACGATTTCTTCCTGAAGGATGGAATAAAATCAAGTTACTATATCAAGCTGTCTTCGTGAACAAAGTCCAGATCATTCCTTGAATGACTTTTTAATAAACTGGGCCTAAATTTGATGGACATGATGACCATATATGGCACTCAAGTTTTAGGGGTCTAGCTCAGAGGTCAAGGTCACACTTTAAAGTCCAAAGTTATCATATTAATTCTTTGAGAGATTTTAAAATTCTTTGGCATACTGTTTTGAACATTATGTTGATATGTGCACCGAAGATTCAGTGTCTTTATCCTAATTATCAAGATCACACTTAATTGTAAAACATGATTTTCTTGTCCTAAGTATAATTATCTTTATGAACATAACATCACGTCTTGTTTTGACCTAGTTGTCTTAGTAATTAACTTGGTATAATTATCAAACTTCAATCATGGATTATTTATTCATTAACAAAATTAGAATTCATTAAAAGCAAGCACATAACCCTTTATCAGTGTTTTAAAATTCTATACTAATTTTAGATCACTTGCGCTGGCTTATGGTGAGCCTTTATTATCTTTGAATGTCCGTCGCCTCTCATCCACCCACTTTTAGTTTGTTCAAACTCTAGTGGTCGTATTTTTTGCATCATTTGTCACCAACTTGGTCAGAATGCTTGTCCCAGTAATTGTTCGAACGAGTTCAAAATATTGGTCATCTTGTATGAAAACAATATAGAAAAAACTTGTTAACAAAATAAAGGTCCAGCATTGGGAACATTGGTTTATATATACTTACATAGTAAAATTCTTTTATATACTCTTGTGTGAACTTTAAATGACCACAGGTTTGATATTTGGCATGTAGAATCTTTTATCTTTTTACTTCCACAGAAGTGATAATAATTATGCCCCAGTACGTACTCATTTTGCATTTTATAAGTAGTTACTTCATATGCTTATGCTTATAGAAATGTCAAGCTACTACTTATAAACACGTACTTGTATTGGTTTTCATATCTGCTAATATTATTCATCGCGATGTTTCATAATACGTATTCCTATTGCCTACCAACTGTTTTTATTGCGGCTTTGAATTTATCACAAGCTTTCTTTGCAATATTACATGCCAGCTTAAAATGACTTTGTCCGGTTGCTTTCACTGTTACTTTAACAGCATTTTAATTTATTCATTTTTTGGAAAACTTTACAATAAAAATTACATACTTTCTTAATTCAGGAACCACCTACATGTTTAAAGTATACACAGAAAATGTGATGTACAATTCATCAGTACCTGCACAGTCTCAATATTGTACAACAAAAGTAAAATGTAAGTTGACATTCTTATCTTATCTCATACCAACATTTTCTTCCAATGTCTCCAGTGACTGAATTTCCATAGGTTTAACTACATGTACTTTTGTTGACCAGTTTGAACTTTCGGGACGTATTATGGCATGGCGTTGTCCGTCAAATCACAAATGTAACCATTATTTTCTTTTAAGCATACTCATGGATGTTATATAGATACTCTTTATATTGATGAAAATCAAACTGTCAGCATTGGAAAAATTGGATGTTGTTTTTATGCCCTTACCACTTAGGGGTAGAGAAAGACATGTAGAATTTCTTTTGTCGGTACCTCTGTCATTCTGTTCTGCCCTACGGCAGTAGCCTGATAAAACATTGGAGTGTTGGGGCATCCCTGTCCTATGGAGACATTTCTAGTGTACCCTGAATTTCTTTGTTAACCATTTTGTAAGGTACATAACTAAAACACTGTTGCTTTAATTGAATTATCCAGCTCTGAGAGAAGTGGAGTGTGCTATCTGTGGGCAGGTTTTGTTTAAGTTTGTAGTAGCTCTTTGTTTGAAAATGTAATTTAATTTTTGAAGTTGGAATAAATTTACTTTTAACTAATTGTTACTCATTTATATTTGCAAACATTTTTCAGTATCTGACCCTCCTGATGGTTTTCAAACAACAGAGGTCACAAGTCGAAACATCTCTATTAAATGGACTGAGCCTATCAACTCATACAGTGAAGAAATCTACGGATATGTTATTCAGCTGAAAAACCAAGACTCTTGTGTGGAAGAAATTGTTTATAAATGTTTAACCCCAAGTTGTCGTGGAACTTTTGAGGTGAATATTATTCATGTTTGTTTAGGTTTTTGGTTTCTTTCCAATTTCTTGATAATGCTTTTGTTATTTTAGACTTTTTATATCATTCCTAGTAAAGGTCTTTTGCTAAAAATATGTTAATATTGAGATTGACCATGAGAAAGCATTGCAGAAAATTGTTAACAAAAATACTTGAAATAGACTATAATATCTAGCACTTGCATAAAATGTGTTATGATTTTTGTTACAACAGCTATGAAAGAGGTAAAAAGAATTATTAGAAATGTGCTGATTTTTAAAAAATAACAAGAAGAATCATTTTTATAATTTATTTTTTGATCTCAGAATTTAGTTATTGGAAATTTTAGGCAATGTTTATCACTCTTATTATTCTCGGACCTGTACCTTCACATACAATAATAATTATTATATCCATGTTAGTTGCTGAAATGTTGTGTGAAAATCAAAATACACTTTTTTTGGTGGGGAGTGATGAATAGAGGTAGGTCTGGTAAGAGCATAATTTTCAAGTATCCTTGATTAACATCAGGTCAGCTTGTAACTATGGTTTCCTATTCTAAACAGAAACAAGCTGGTCAGAAATCGTTTAATATTGAAAAAAAATGTGAGTTATTATTAGATGGACTTAATAAATAGATTAAACAACTTTTATTTTCAGCCTTCTACTTTAGAGCATATGTGTGACAGTAATGTGAGGAAGTTGATTTCTGTAAACAAGCCTCAGCTCATTGGTTCAAAGTCATACCAGTTTTTGAATCTCTTACCAGATACAACTTATACTATTATTGGTGCAGCTGTCAACAATTTAGGAACTGGCAATACTGTTGATTTAGATATAACAACAGAAGAAGAAGGTATTGTTTCCCAATTAAAGGATCAGTGAAGGAAAAGTTAAAGTTGAGATATTGTCATTTGTTGTGAGAAATTATCAGTTATATTAAAAATTTGTAAAAGGAATTAACGATTGTAATGAAATAATTATTAGTTGTTTTGATGTCATTTGTAAAGTCTATTTTGGGATACATGTAAAATCAATTGTAATAAAAAAATATCTATTTTGTAAAAGGTAGATTTATTGTCAACATATACATGTATAAAGGTAGTGGGGTAAGTGGTTTAAAATTATATGTGGATTGTCTCATAATTTTTTTTATTCTGAAACTATTGATCTGTGTTGCATAAAAAGCACTTTGAATTGAATTACTAGACAGTAGACACACTGACAAAAGTGGAGCAAGCTCGGTGCAGACAGATCTTGCGTAATCTCTTTTCATTATCACCATATAAGTTCCTATTTACTGTATTATTTTACAGCTCCACAAGTACCATACAATGTGGAAGTCAATGAAATGAAGACAACATCCTTTAAAGTGACTTGGAATATAGATGATCCCAGACCTGGCAAAACAAACTACACAGTTAAACTGATGGCTGATCATCCCGCAGAGTCCAAACAAGTTATACTGACAGGTTGCATTTTTAAATTCCTGAAAAATGTTTGGTATATAATATTATGCAATGGTCGTCCGTCCTTTTGTGGCAGTTTTTTGTGTCTCTCTGTATCTTTTGAACCAATAAGAAAACATTAAACATTTTGGCCAAAATATTACTTATAATGAGACAATGTGCATAGCAAAGGTTTCACTTTCTCAGAGTTCAAAATTAGCCCTGCCTAGTGGATTACTTGATTTTATGTAGACTTACAGATAAAAACATATTTAAGTTCCATTATATGAATCAACAATATCTAGAGCTCAGATACTTAGCATGTAGCATTGCCGTATTGACCTTTACAAAACTGATATGAATTATGCCCCTCAATTCAATATTGGCCCCGCCCTAGGGGCTACATGATTTATATAGACTTTTAGGAAAATACATCTTAGTCTTGTTGTGTGAAACTACGATGCTTAGAGTGTAGATATTTAGCATGTGACATCACTTGGTTTGACCATAAAATAACTGGTATTATTCATACCGCTTGGGTCAATATTTTGACCCACTCACCCACATACACTTACTCGTACTTTGTTAATTTAGTTTTTAATAGAAAAACACATTTTAAATTCTTAATTTGGTGAAACTCCAATACCTTAAGTAGCATTGCCTTGTTGGCCCTTACAAAACTGGAATTAATCATGCCCCTATAGGGTCAATATTGGCCCTGCCCATAGGGTCACTCAATTGATATTAGACTTGTTAAAGAAAAACATTTCAGTCTAATTTTGTGAAACTTCAATGTCAAGAGCTAAGATATTTAGCATGTAGCACTTGCTTTATGTAGACCTAGGAATAGGAAATCACATTCTTATCTTTTTGAGGATAAAAACAGTATCCCTCTAAATTTGGCATAGAGCATTACCTAGTTAACCTCTTTAAAAGTTTTATGAATCATTCTTAGAGTCGAACAAATGCCTCCAGCTTAGAGGTCTAATAGTATCATAAGTATAATTCAGATAAAACATTTTTAAGTATGAAAGTTATTACTTGTTTTACATTTCAGACTTTTAAGATACTAATAAATCAAATGTTTTCATAGAAAACACAGATTTTAAGGAATTATGTAAAATATTTTTAATCTAATCTTGTCTCGTTTTGATGAAAATTTTTATGAAAGAAAAGTATATATTTTATTTTTCTGTAGGGTTTAACATTAGAGAATATGTTGCTGAAAATCTTCAAGAATATTGGAATTACAGTGTTTTAGTGACAGCTACTACTTCAAAAGGTTCAAAAACATCTACTGAGACAGCAAAACACAGAACTCTTCCTACAGGTATACATTGTTATTTTGATATTTTGTGAAATTTAAACAACACTCTCCATATTAGTTAAATTAGGTTTCAAATCAGACACTTTTTTATATATTTTCATTCCTGAATGTTATTAACGTTACATTGTTTTAGGATCTGACAGTCACCAATAGGAAGTCACTTTGTCATGACCTTTTGGTCAGCAAATCAGTGGTCATTTTGGCACTTTGAAAATGGATCAGTTTTTTATTTTTATCCATTGGGAAACTATTAATGTGTCCTGATTGTTAACAATTTCAGGATATTACAAGAGAACCAAAATTGCAGTGCCTGTTGTCTTTTGGATAAATTGTCTTCAATAAAAGTTTAAATACCAAAAACGATAAAATCTAAAGTTTTACAGAAAATATCTTTGAAATATCCTCTCAAAATTAATGATTTTTGTAACTTCTATGATAATGCTTTTCTGTAAAACAAGAGTGATGGTCTTAAAATTGTTCTATTGGAAATTCAAATTGGCTCTTAGCACTTGTAAAACATTTAAAAAATATGAACTTAGGTCACATTAAAAAAATCAAGCTTTGTTGAGCATTTTATTTAAAATCATTGTATAATGTTTAAAGATCTTGAAAAACATCATTTATATGAATATTAAAGAAATTACAGCAAGAGTAAATGTGACCTGTTATCCAGATTATCTCTGAAACTGTTCAGCTTACTTTCCAGCTGTGAGAAAAGTTGAGCACACAGCCTTCATGGACTTCTATTGTTAGAATTTACCTATCATATCTTCATTTTTCATTGCATTTATTTCAGCACCAGGAAAAGTTTCAAACTTTGTTCTCACAACCAATCCTGGTGGAAATTATACAAGGATGAAGATAAGCTGGCAAGCCCCAGACATATTGTTGCAGAATAGTGTGATAAAATCATACAGCTTTATGTATTTTCAAGACCAAAAAATTGTAAGTCTTCATGAAGACAGAAAAGCATTCTCTATTTGATAAAATGTTGTTAAATGTGCCCATGTCTTAAAGTGCAGTAGCATAAAGACCCTTTTACGATGCGGTCCATTGCTATGAAAAATCGATCAGAAGTAGTATTTTCTAGCGCATGCGTGTAAGGCTAAAAGAGCATTGTCCTACATAGAAATAGAAGTTCATATAGACAATTCCAAGTAAGTTTAAGGTAAAAAGTAGAAAATGATACGAAATAGCTTTTAACAAAAATATAAAAGATGCGTTTATATCTTTGTGGCCAAGTTTGCCATAAAAAGGCATGGAAAAGATGATTGTTTAAGAATTCCCCATTACGGTCACAGACCTGACATTGACTGACATTGTTGTAAAAAAATCATGGAAGTATATCTATTAGAAAAAATAAAGTGGTCAACATAATTGTTGTTGAAATAGTACATATAAAAACTAAAGAAATTTAAATAATATATGAAATCGAGGTAAATTATCATTCTGAAAAAAAATAGTCAGAACACGTGATAATGCATTTCAAGTTTTCGATCAGTTTACCTGATTTTATCTGACTGATGCCAAACAGAAAATATTTAACAACTGTTTCACCCATGTATCTGTTGAATATCACCAAATGTTGTATCAAGTCTATTTTAGGATTCTATTTAAGGTTCTTATCTGAATTTTATTATTTATGTGGGTCTTTTTAACTTTTTTAAACTACATTTGATTTGAATTTGCGACTTGAGCGATATTGATGTTTTAATTTGTTTCTTGTGTTGCTTTCTTTTAAAAATTGTATCATTTATTTGGTTATAATGTACAGTACTTTTGGACGTGACAATGTGCATGAAAAAAGTGCTTAAGAAGTTTGGTAATAAATAGTTTTAATAATAATAATAATAATGAATGCAGGAAGTGCCTGTTATATTCCAGTTGGTAATTAAACTTCTTCAATGATAATCTATTAGTATGTGCTTTTTATTTTACTTTTTCAGGAAAGTAGACAGAGCAAATCATTTGAACATGAAATATCCCAAAGTCATAATTATGAAATATTTGTGGATGTAATACCAGAAGAAACGTATACTTTTGAGGTATGTAATGTAAATTATTTATGGTCATTATCATAGCATACTAAAAGATGTAAATTTGAGATGATTTCTTGTACCTTTGACTTTAGTAGTCTTATTTCATATTTTTAAGTGAATATTATAATGAATATGATTTTTTCAACTGAAGAAAAGGCAAAAGCTGTGTTTTATAATGTTTTAATTAGAAAATAGTGCAATAAAATAGTGCAATATTATAGAATTACGCATGTCTTAGAAATATCATGAAAAATGAGTGATTAATTACAAAGCATTTGAATGATGAACAATGCATTATTATACTGTAAATCAAGAAGAATTGAAATTTATTTCTATTTCCATTCTAACATGCTTATAAAAAAAAGAGAATTGATAAAAAAATGTTGAACTACATTAAGGGTAGAAGTAATTTTCCTGAAGTCATTTGGTTTATTGATGTCATATCAGCTGTCAATTATGGTGTGTAAGCATTCATTTTTATGCTGTGTGACACACTTGATTGCCCTAACTGTTTGATTGGTGAATAGTGTGAAGCATGTTAGAATATTGGATTTAGAGGATGTTAGATGCTTGATCTAACATCTGAAAAAAGAAGCATTGAATGAGAAATAATTTACAATAAAAATAGCAATTGTAAACAATGTTGTATGTAGAATAAAATAATGATATTCGGTACCTTTACTCAGTACCTTTACTAATTGTGAAAAAGCAAAAGGAACAAGACATAGTTTAGTTATTTTCCAACAAAAACCATTTCATAAACTGTAACAGAACACCAAAACAGAAATGAATCATTCAGGAAATAAAAGTTAACATATTTGGGGCTTATGTGGCCTTTAATTATGTTACTTTACAATTTATTTCTGTCAGATCACCTGTATAGTTTTTGACTAAATTTGCATATTGATATTGAATATTTTCAAATTCATATAATTTAACAAAGTTTAAAGATAGCAGTCTCTTTGTTAATATATGGAAATGTTTCATATAACCTTTTGAAATTTAGTTGTAAACTGACTTTCAATTCAGACTCAATCCCTTGATGTTTTTTTTTTCAGGTGAATGCAATAAATGAGCAAAACGAGACTGGAGAAAAAAATTCTGAAACAAAGACTGTCCCTGCTGGAGGTATTTGATATTTAATATAAATCACTGTTTAGAAATCATGATATTTAACTGCCCCTTTTCAAAGAAAAAGTGTTCAGGAATTACATCCTCAAATTACAATTTGTCATTTCTCAATGTTGGTGGGTGGGTTAATCACGTGACTTTGTATACTAATACAAATGAGAAATGGCAGCTGCCGAGCCTTGGTAAGTTTTGTATTTTTATAAATTTAGGTGAAAAATGTTTCCTTAATCCAAACTAGACCTAGCCTATCATATGCATGGTGAGTGTAGTTTTTCTAATTTGCTTTACCTTTTAGTATTTTGCTCCATTATTTTATTTAAAAATATATAATGGTTGTCTGTCTGCCTTCATGTAGTCATATATACATGTATATATGCAAAATGAGTGCTACCTCTTTAAGTATGTACCCAATTTTAGTTGGCATTAGGTATCTTTTTGCAATTTTCACAATATTGTATAACGTTTTATGCCACCGCAGCATCTGCTATGCGGTGACATATAGCGATTCACCTGTGTGTGCGTGTTACATGTGTTATATAGATATACAGTGAATTTAAAAGATCTTCTTGTGAAAAACCACTTGTCCAATTTCAACCAAACTTGGCAGGATTGATCCTTGGGTGAAGAGCTTCAAAAGTTGTTTAAAGAATTTCATTCCATTCAGAAATCTTGTTGCCATGGCAACCAAAAGGAATTAAAAGAATAAATTTAAAAACTCTTCTTGTAAAGACCCACAAGGCCTAGAGCCTAGATATTTTGCATAAGGCATTGTCTGGTGGACCACTACCAAGATTGTTCAAATTATAGCCCTGGGGTCAAAATTGGCCATTTATTTGCAATATATGTACATACAGTAAAAACTTAAAATACCTTCTTGTCTGAAGGTACAAGGCTTAAAGCTTTTATATTTGGTATATGATATCATCTATAGGTACCCTACTAAAGTTGTTCAAATTTTGGCTCTAGTGTGAAAATTAGCCCCTACCCCGGGGGTCATAGGTTTTTCTTTAATGTATATAGTAAAAACTTTAAAAAATCATCTTCTCTAAATTGACAAAGGCTAGAGGTAAGATATTTTGCATGAAACATTGTGTAGTGAACCTCTACCAAGATTGTTCAAATTATAGCCTGGGGTCAAAATTGGCCCCGCCCGGGGTCATTGATTTTCACTCTGTACATATAGTTAAAATAATAAAAATTCTTAGTGTCTAAAGATACAAGGCTTAGAGCGTGAATATTTGGTATATGATATCATCTATAGGTACACTACCAAAGTTGTTTAAATAATGCCTCTGTAAGTGTTACAATTGCCTTGCCCCAGAGGCGATAGTTTTCCTTAAATGTATATAGTAAAAACTTGAAAAATCATCTTCTCTGACTTGACAAGGGCTAGAGGTTAGATATTTGGCATGAGACTTTGTGTAGTAAACCTCTACCAAGATTGTTCATATTATACCCCTGGGGTCAAAATTGGCCCCTCCCCGGGGGTTATTGATTTTCACTATGTACATATAGTAAAAAAATAAAAAATCTTATTGTCTGAAGGTACAAGGCTTAGGGCTTTGATAATTGCTTTATAATATCATCAATAGGTCCTCTACCAAAGTTGTTCAAATTTCCCCCTTGTGTCAAAATTGGCCCTGCCCGGGGGCATTGATTTTCATTATGTACACATAGTAAAAAAAGAAACTTCAACAAATTCTGAATTGGAGAAAGCTACAGCTTACATATTTGACATGAAATGTTGTTTGGTGGACCTGTATCAAGATTGTTTTAATAAAACCCTTGGGTCAAAATTTTGCCTTGCCCAAAGGGACAGTGACCTACTTTCTTGTCCTTTAATGTACAACTATGAAATTTGGAGTATGTGTACATTTTTATTTGTAAAATTGAACTTTGATATCAGGTGACCTACATTTTGTTGATGTGACCTACTTTTTTATCCTTTAATGTGCAGCTATGGAATTTGAACCATGTGCACAGATTTAAGATGTAAAGTGAACTTTGATATCTGCTGGCCTAGAATTTGACAAAGTGTCTTACTGTGTTGTCCTTTGATGTCCAGTCATTGAATTTTGGCCATGTGAAATATGACTTTCACCACCAAATTCACTAGACTCAACTGCATTGATAGATTCCTACTCTGATCTTTCATTTGAATAACAATATATTTTACCACTTATCTAAAAAAAAATCTGTTACTACATTACTATTTAGTGTTGTATTAATGCGGTGGCATAGCATTTTTCACAAATGCAATCTTGTTTTAAATTTCCTATAAAACTAAGAGTAAAAGATAAGAACCAGATCAACTGATTGAGAGTAAAATTCAAAATTAAATAGATTTATGATTATAACATATGGAGCAAGAGCCATGTCAACATGGCAATCCCCCTGCCGAATGTGTTTGCTCAGTGGAAGAATGTATATGTAGTAGAGCAGAAAAATTCAATTTCAAGAGGTCTTTTGGTAATGAAAATTGATGGCTGAAGTGATTACAGATTTGAAACCTATGTGAATCCTGATGGCGGAAAAATTAGCAAAAGGCAATAAGTTTAAAATAATGCAGGGTAGGTTATCATTCCTGTGTGCTGCACCCCTTCTCATTGAAATCTATCCACCTATGAATTTTCAAGTTGATACCTCAAATACGTTTTGAGATAAGGTCCAGATAAAATAGTATGAAAAAGAACAAAGGGCAATAACTAAAGAATTATATAGGGAAGAGTTATCATTCTTGCGCACAGCATTCCTCTTCAATAAGATATATCCACCTATGAAATTTCATGTAGACATCTCAAACACTTTTGAGTTATGCTCCACTCTGGTGAAAAATTAAGTATGAAAAATAACAAAGGGCAATAACTCAAAATTATGAAAGGTAGAGTTATCATTCTTGTGCACTGCACACATCCTGAGTGAGATCTATGCACCTATGAAGTTTCATGTTGATATCTCAAAGGCTTTTTGAGTTATGCTCTGGACAAAAATTAATTTTGAAAAATAACAAAGGACAATAACTCAAAAATTATGCAGGGTAGAGTTATCATTCTTGTGCACTACACTCCTCCTCAATGAGGTATGTCCAGTTTCAAGTTGATACCTCAAATACTTTTTGAGATAAGCTCCCCACAAAAAATATAAAAAAGAACAAAGGGCACCATTTAACAAATACAAGTCATTTTATAACAGTTTTTTTTTTCAAATAAAATATCCTAAGTGCAATTATGCTCTAAATGTGTTCATGATTCCGTGTTCATTTCCTTCAAATGCCTGGTAAAGAATAAAAAATATCAGTTAAGTGTCTACTTTTTAGCCCTTGGGTCCAGAAAATTTCTAGTTTTAATATTTATACCCCCGCACAACAAAGTTGTAAGGGGGTATAACTGGAATCAGCTTGTCCTTCCGGCCGTCCGGCGTCCGTCAGTTTTTTCTTGTCTGCCCAATAACCTAAGATTTCTTTGACCCACAGTCTTCATATTTGGCATGGAGGTTAGTCGTGATTAGAAGATGAACCCTATTGATTTTGACTAAGTCTGTTAACAGGAAGTGAATGTGCGAAAAACCTGAAATCGATTCCCATGGTATTGGACTACATGTTAATGCTGTATGCCAAATATCCAGACGCTATGATAAGTAGTTGCTGAGAAAACTGATACGAAAATTTCCTATCATCAACCATTAATGTCGAAAATTTAACAAAGTCGGTAAAAAGGAAGTGGATAAGCAAGAGACCTGAAATCGAAGCCCACTGTATGGGACCACGTGTTAATGCTGTATGCCAAATATCAAGAGGCTGTGGAGAGTAGTTTATGCAAAAAATGTTACAAAAATTTCCTTCACTTGACCATTAATGTCGAAAATTTAACTAAGTCAGTAAACATGAAGTGGTTGAGAGATAGACCTTAAACTGTAACCCACTGAATGGGACCACATGTTGATGTTGTATACTAGGGATGTCATCTGGAGCCGAAACGGCCATCCGGATATCCGTGTCAAAAAATTTTCGTTATTGATTTTATTGTTTCTATATAGAATATGACTGTTATCGATAAATTGAGTGCATATGGTACTTACGATTTCAATTTTTCAAATGAAATGAAAATGAAATTCATCGCCGATTGTCTCAATTTCTCAATTAGTGCTATTAAACACAATAACACTCACTCACATTTGTGAAAACAAAATAAGGCCCGTAAAAATAAATATAATGTTTCCATTGTTCAATAACACGCATATAATTGACAGACTGCCTAGCCGGCTTTTCAAAATAATCTGCAAATCTTTGATGTTTACCAACATGTAGCCCTGGCTGTTTGATTCGAATCATCAAAGAAGTCGCCGAAATTTACATTAATGTGTTCATAAGTGAAAAAAAACTGTGAAAAAAATTGTTTTAAAAAAATGCACATGTTAGATTTATACTAAAGGAGAAAGTTATTTTGTCGGATAATTATCGTATCAATTTCAATAAAAGATGTGATAATTAAACTATTATTATTCGTAAGTGCATTTCTTGGTTTGATTATTTTATTTCTGCAGATTTTTCATTTTTGGCCGGGTTGCACTGGTGCAAATCCGGGTTATAGTATGGTGAATGTCGGGCGGGCGGGCGGCGGGCGAGGAAAATATTTTCGTAACAGTTTTCCCAGCAACTACTTATCACAGCCTCTTGATATTTGGCATACAGCATTGACACATGGTCCCATACCGTGGGGTTTGATTTCAGGTTTGTTGCTCATCCGCTTCCTGTTTATCCACTTAGTTAAATTAGTTAAATTTTTCGACATTAATGGTCAATGGTAGGAAATTTTCGTAACAGTTTTCTCAGCAACTACTTATCACAGCCTCTTGATATTTGGCATACAGCATTAACACATGGTCCCATACATCGTCGGATACCCACGGCCGAACCATTATCATTCATCAGCCGTGGGATTTTTTGCCGATATTCAGTCGATTAGAGGTGTGTCAAAGGCAGCTATTTCATTGGCTGCCTGACGATTTCATGAGGCGATTAAAACCAATCAAAACGCTCGTTCTGTACGACGTTCGGTATAGGGTATGTAAGTCTCGTCATGTGACTTGCGAGATTTCACGATATTTTGCACTTCCGGGTACAAACAAATATCAACAACATTGCTTATCTATATTGGGTAATACTTGTATGCCGGTAGGAAAGTAAAACTTACATGGAAAAGCAAATGATATGTGGAAATTGGCAGAGTTTTTTGTTTTGTAACGAAATGCAAATGGTTTCATCTTGTGAACAAGTATCAATGAAAGACAACTTCGTATAATCTTCAGGTGGGTGTGTCATTTCAAATTCAGTTTATTCTAATCAATGTTGTAATATTTTCATTTCCATGTAAATCTAATAAATTTGTTTTTAGATACAACATCATTCGCATCTGACACCAGACTGGTGAATTTGATTTTATCAATTTTCTATAGCGCTACCTGATTATCTCTCAGAAGTATATAATGTTTAGAAATTTCGGACAGCGCATATTTCGGATAAACGTTTCAATATGATTATCAGTGTGTTTTAGTTGAATATATTTTCTACCAGCTGAAAATATTATTTATTTATAATTATTATCTTTATAAAGCACAAACAGTCAAGCTGTATATAACCAATTTAAATTGTCATAAAATTCAATGAAATATTTTGCTCCTGTAGATATTTTGACTGAGGACAGTGGTGAGATGAAAGACGTCAGTATCCATTGTAAATCCACATGCATGCTCTGCTGTAAAATCGTTTTGGTAAGAAATATATACTAAAAGCTACTTAAACTACATTAATGAAAAAAAAATAATATTGTATAACATATAATGTTCTCGTTTTTGTAAATAATTACAGTGTAGCTAAATAAACAAACAGTATGGCATATGTAGTTAATTCATGTTAAATACTGTTTAAAGTATTTTTCTCAAGTAAGTAGGTCATATTTTTTAGTTAAATCATGTTCAGTAAATGGTTAAAAGAACTTAGTCACTATCACATTTTTTAAAGATCAGTTGTCAAAGCAAATCTACAAAAACTTGGACACCAAGAAGTGTTTCTTCCTTTTCAACATTATTTTCTATTCATGACAATTTGATAATGATTGAAATTTATAGCTGACCAATTATTATTGCTTTCAACTCATGATTAATTTTCTTTATATACAGGTATGTGATTTCATGGTTGGATCTTGAGTACTTGTCATGGCTCTTGATTTATTTTGGAGTGTTCACCATCAGATTAAAAATCAAATAGTGATACCACCAGGCATAGTTGAAAGGAAATGTCCATACACAGTCTTGGAGTACATAGTGGTTGAGACATGGCAGTCCATTACAGATTTTGACTGAATTAAAGCTTCTTAAAGCTCCATGTCTTGTGTAAACTGTCTGACTGAATGTTTGTATTCTAATAAAAACTAAGGTTGAAGACACTTCAAAGATATATGTCAGTGTAAAAATGTTAAACAAAATATCTGTCTTTGTTAGAAATAAATAACCTGTCTTTATTAGAAATAAATAACCTGTCATTTGTAACTTTGTATTAACTTAATTATTCAAAGATAATTTATCTTCTGCAAATGGCTGCCCAAAACAGTTTCAACCAGGCATCATGTAGTTTCAAAACAGTTAAGATAAATTTGTTATAAATAGACTTGTAAATTAACAGGAATGGTAAAAAAAAATGTTCAGCATTACAATGTTTCTATCTTGAATGAGTTTCATTTCATATTATCACTATGATCACTGCAATTGTAAAAGTAATGTAATCTTTAACCATTATTTAAATATCATAAAAATCATCTCAAAGAAAAACTTGTTTCTGAGGCAAGATGTGTAAAATTCCTTCCAGTTATAGCCTTTCACTGCTCTTAGAAAAGCCATGATTTGCATTGTGCATGGCAGGTAGTAATACCAGAGTAAACAATATTAATGCAATTCATCTGTGTTGAGTATTCTGTAGCAAAACACTAGCTTGCTAGCCCTTGTAAGCGCAAGTCTCTCTCTTAATTGGAGAAGACTTGCAATTCTGCATTCCTTGAAGATTTTAGTATCAGAGGGGTAGTTATTACATACCATATACTTCTTTGGGTTTCAAATTACCTGTTTTATAATGTATTGAACCTGTTGACATTTGACAAAAAGTGAATTATCTATACAATACATGCAAAACTTAGGGTTTGCACTTGATACAAACAATTACATCACTGATATCACATTAATATACCAATTGGAACTGTTTCAAAATTGTCAATGTTTCAAAAAAAAAAAAAAAAAAAAAAAAAAAAAAAAAAAAAAAAACAACACACAATGCTTTTAACTTTTGTCCATGTACATATGTGTAAATGTAGTCATTGAAGAGCTGTCAAGAACTTTTCATCAATATTATTTAGATAGTGTCTGTTTCGATTTCGGGACAGACAAAATTCAAATGACATGCATAGTATTTAATATAGGCAATGCTTGCATATTCAAGCAATCTAGCCATTGCTGTTAGAGAATTAAAGTACACAGTGACACTTATTTTGCAGATGAACTCTTATGATCAATCACTGCTATAAATATATGCCAAATAGTAGAAACAAAAAAAACAGTTCATAAGTTTAATAAACTTTTATTTTTACATAATTTATAGTGCACTGCTTAGCATATATATCACACTGATTTTCCAGTGGAAGAAAAACTTCAGGAAAGCACTTGGAATTATTATTAGTTATTTGGACAATGTAACTTTACACTGTGAATGTCTACTGATACAAGAATAAGAATATTTCCTTTTACAAATGTAAAGACTTTGAAAATTAACATGAACAAATTATCATACAGTTATAAATCATATTCTAATTGAAAAATGTTCAACTTGATATCAAAGCTTTGATTGCAAATTTGTGATCTTATCAATGATTGCCTCACAATATTAGTAGTAGATGATATATAATATTTTTGCTAATCTTTACTTCATTGTCATTTAATGTCCATAATGTCATATGACTCTACTGTGATTCCATGAAAAAACCTTATCTCTGGTGTGTTATCAGCTTTAGTATATATAGAGTATCTAGTTTTAATACTTAAAACTGCAATGAAATGTGGATATTTTACTCTGTTTCTATCATTGTGACATTAACATGTTAACAAGATCATAGTGTCAAACACCATAAAATCATACTCTTTATACATTAAGATTTCTGTGCTGGATGTCATTCATCTTCTTCAGGAAAGTATATTTGACTATTTTCAGTGGCTTAATTATATTAAACTAATATTTCACTGTAACTGTGTGTTCTCTGATATCATTCTCAAATTAAGGAACTGGAAGATGGTAGTTGCAATAAAGGTCTTCATGGGCAAATCCTCCTTCATCTTTTCCCTTTTTATCTGCAGAATGAAAAATCAATAAATATGTTGTTACAAGTGTAAGACACTAGAAATGATATTTACATTACATTTAATAAGCTGGTCATGATTGACAGAAAAATTTCATATTTGAAGTAAATAAACATTAAAGATAAACAACAACACATAATATATAACAGTCAAAAATATTGATCTTCTTGAATGTGAAACATGACTATCTTTAATGTTTTATTTACTTATCAATTATCATGCAGTGAAATCCAAGTTATTAAATTATAATAATATATTTTGATAATTGTTTATCTTTCCGATCTCAACTAAAATTAATCAATTATTTTACATGTATTTACCTTTGATGTACAGATATTTCAGGATCATAGGCAGTACAAACAGTTGATTAATGGTCCATATTGAACAACTGTATATTCTATACTTGTCATATACCTCCTTGTCTATACATCTGAAATGGTTTAATCAAATATTATATTTTTTAATTCAATCATTATTTGCTAGGTACCATATTAACATGTATATATAATTGAAAAAGGAATAAGAATAAAATGGAAAGGAAAAAATATCCGAATTACTGTGCAATGTGCGAATTTTGTATAACTTTAATATACACTAGAATTAAAGTGTTTCTCCATTGTTTATTTCAATAAGTTAAAATGGTTTGAATTAATTTCTCACATCAGTAGTTTTAAAACAATACTAAAAGCTAAACAACTAGAATTCACTACCTTGACAAAACATCCGAAACAATTGTCACTATCCGAAAATAAACTAGTTTTATTAAACTCTATAAATACCTCGTTTTTCCGTTAGATAATTGACCTACCTGCATTTTTTGACCCGTGCTATCCATTCCTTCAAATCTGAAGAGGACCGAAACAAATTTAACTTCTATATCCCTCGAGTTCTTCGGGTTACCTATATGCGTAACGGTAAATAAGTCTGCCGATGTACCCGGAAGTGGTAAATCGAAAGTGAAAGTAAACGAGACTTACGGGCCCTATTACAGACAATATTGCGACAACCATAGACGACGTAAAAAGTTTAACATCGAAAAAATAAACGATTTCCAGCAAGAAAGTATAGATAATTTACTTTTACAGCGTGATTTTTCCTTTATGATTGATATCTGCTTGCAGAAGAACTGATTTGGCGATAGTTTTTGCCAATGATTTTAGCAAGACACGTGCAACAGTTTTTAACCGTTTTTTTCTTATTGTTTTTTACCTCCGCTGTTGAAGAATATAGATTTGTTAAACGCGATGTCATTGGTAGATATTTTACGCACCTGTTGCTGTATATCGACGCAAATCGATTCATTTTACCCACGGTTGATTGCATGTTATGTGACATGTTTATCAATCGTGGGTATCCGACGATGGGTCCCATACCGTGGGATTAGATTTCAGGTCTGTCGCTTATCCACTTCCTGTTTATCCACATAGTTAAATTAGTTAAATTTTTCGACATTAATGGCCAATGGTAGGAAATTTTCGTAACAGTTTTCTTAGCAACTACTTATCACAGCCTCTTGATATTTGGCATACAGCATTGACACATGGTCCCATACCGTGGGATTCGATTTTATGTGTGTAGCTCATCCACTTCCTGTTTACCCACTTAATTAAATTTTCGACATTAATGGGTCAATGGTAAATTTTTTTTGTAACATAACAGCCTCATGATATTTGGTGTACAAATGCAACCCGGCCTTTTCTGTCTTTGACCCATTTTCTCAAAATAAGGAGTCGACGGGTCGGTAAGCTGAAATATATATATAAATAAAAGCCTAATTAAATTTGGACATAAAAATGTAACATCGTTGCCGATGACAATCGCACGGGACTAAGAATATCATCTTAAATCCTACAAAACTTAAATTTGTTTAGTGTTTAATATATACATGTATTAACATGTGTCATACCTGACTCGTAATTATTGATTTTCTTGTGGTCTGCAGAGACTCTGATGTGTATTGTCAAACTAAGGTACAATATACAATATGGTGTCAACACCATGTCTACGTCGATTATATCAAAGCATGTTTATTTATCACATTTTCTCAATATTCCGAAATATTTTTTACGAACATCCGGTTCCGAAAATCGGATCCGGACACCGAATCGTGATCCGAACGTTCGGATATCCGGACTCCGAATGACTCCAAATGACATCCCTACTGTATACCAAATATCAAGAGGCTATGATAAGTAGTTGCTGAGAAAACTGTTGCAAAAATATTTTCCCCGCTCGCCTGGCCATACGTCTGCCCGCTGCCCGACCTTCTCCATTTTATAACCCGGGTTTGCACCTGTGCAAACCGGCCTAAAATCTTGTCCAGCTTTCATGAGGTCAAACCGCTGGCATGATTTCAATGAATCAGGAGTGATCAATACCATCCATGACCATAAGGTGATCCCTATTGATTTTGAGGTCTCTGGGTCAAAGGTCAAGGTCACAGGGGCCTTGACTATAAAAAGCTTGTCCGCCCAATAACTTAAGAATGCTTTGACCCACAGTCTTCATATATGGCATGGAGGTAAGTCATGATTACTAGATAAGCCATATTGATTTTGAGGTCACTGAGTCAAAGGTCAAGGTCACATGGACTTTTGACTTCAAAAAGTTTTAAAAAAACATTTTGACCCACAGTCTTCATATTTGGGGGTTGATCATGACCAGAAGGTGATCCCTATTGATTTTGAGGTCACTGGGTCAAAGGTCAAGGTCACATGGGTCTTGACTATAAAAAGCTTGTCCGCCCAATAACTTAAGAAACCTTTGACTCACAGTCTTCAAATTTTGCATAGAGGTTAATCATGATCAGTAGATGACCCCTATTGATTTTGAGGTCACTGGGTCAAAGGTCAGAGGGGCCTTGACTATAAAAAGCTTGTCTGGCCAATAACTAAAGATTACTTTGACTTACAGTCTTCATATTTGTCATGGAGATTAGTCATGCTTAGTAGATGACCTCTTTTTGATTTTGAGGTCACTGGGTCAAAGGTCAATGTCACAGGAACTTTGACATCAAAAAGTGTGTCCGCCCAATAACTTAAGAATGCTTTGAGCCACAGTCTTCATATTTTGAATGGAGGTAACGTATAGTGATTTTAAGGTCACTTGGTCAAAGGACAAGGTCACATGGACTTTGACTTCAAAAAGTTTGTCCGAATGGTTTAAAAATATTTCTTAATCTCCAGCATGAGATGATAGGCAGAGAAAGATAAATCAAACTTAAGTTGTTTTTTTAAATAAACACATAAATATACGCCTAAGCAGAAGATAGAGCTGTCCTAGATACCCATTCAGTTGAACTATTTTTGTAATTTTGATGTACAGTTATTTTAACGTTAGATAAGTTATACAGAAGTCAAATTGATTTTGTTTTTATTTCTTGTGTATGTGTTTGATTTTTATCTTTGGTCATAATACAATATTTCATTGATTTCCTGAGACAAATGTTTCTTTTCAATTTAATTAAGGTAACTTGACAATTCTTTTTTTTATTGAGACTATCCGATTATAAATATAATTTTCTCATGGTCAATCTCAATATTAACATATTTTTTGCAAAAGACCTTTGCTAGGAATACTATTACAAAAGTCTAAAAAAACATTATTTACAAATTGGAAAGAAACCAAAGCACTAAATGAACATGAATAATGTTCACCTCATAAGTTCCCCGGCAACTTGGGGTTAAACATTTATAAACTATTTCTTCCACACACGTGTCTTGGTTTTTCAGCTGAATAACATATCCATAGATTTCTTCACTGTGTGAGTTGATAGGCTCAGTCCATTTAATAGAGATGTTTCGACTGGTGACCTCTGTTGATTGGAATCCATCAGGAGGGTCAGATACTGAAAAATGTTTGCAAACATAAATGAGTAGCAATAAGTTAATAGTAAGTTGACTTAAACTTCAAAAAAATAGATTCCATTTTCAAACAAAAGAGCTACTACAAACTAAAACAAAACATGCCCGCAGACAGCACACTCCACATTTCTCAGAGCTGGATGGTTTATTAAAGCAACTTTCAGAGTATCTGCCCAAAGAAATGCATTTCAAATTTGTCAGTCAACAAGTACTCCAAGTTAAAAAAAAAATAATTGTACATGACTCCCTCTACCCCTAAGTGGTTGCGGCATAAAAACAACATCCAATTTTTCCAATGCTGACATTTTGAATTTTTCCAAATATTTAGAAAATCAATTTTATATCCAAAAGCATGCCTTAAAGGAAACAAAGATTGAATTCATGAAAAATGCTATGCCACCGTATTAATACAACACTAAATAGTAGGAACAGAAGTAGATCATTTTTATATTTCTATACAACGGATGAACAACATATAAACTTTGCCATAATGCAGTAATGTGTAATGAATTTGTGGGTTAAGTACAAATGCCATATGTATAATAAATGATTCACGATAAAAGTATTCTCACTTGATAAAAATTTAGACATTTACATAGTTGTATATAAAATTAAAAATACAGTTACACTCACAGTTACTTTTCACAAATACAGGTACAGTTATTTTTTATAAAAACTAACTTTTCCATTAAGCATTAATTTACATAAAACACATTTACAATTTAAAACCATCATTAGAGACAATGTTTAATATTTAAAATAATCTATACTATCTTTCTTTAAATGAAAAAAGGTATACATTGTTGGAATCAGAATGTCCTTATAATGTGCTCAAATTATTTCATAACTAGAACTGCCACTGTCATGGCGTGAATACCCCCGCATACCACTTTGTCAGAATCAACAGTGGCCATTTAGAGCTGCTCAAGGAAAACCTCCCTGCCAAATCTGAGATTACTAAGCCAGTGCATTGCTAAGTTATGTTTTCTACATGCTTCAAATGTAAAAATGTCAAAATCAATACACTGCTGACAGGCATTCTTAAGCAATTGAGGGGAAAAGCTTTTTTTAAGTCAAGGTCCCTGTGACCTTGACCTTTTACCCATTGACCTCAAAATCAATAGGGGTCACCTAATGGTCATTATCAACATCCATGCCAAATATGAAAACTGTGGGTCAAAGGAATCTTAAGTTATTGGGCGGACACACTTTTTGAAGTCAAAGTCCATGTGACCTTGTCCTTTGACCCAGTGACCTTAAAATCACTATACGTTACCTCCATGCAAAATATGAAGACTGTGGGTCAAAGCATTCTTAAGTTATTGGGCGGACAAACTTTTTGACGTCAAAGTCCCTCTGACCTTGACCTTTGACCCAGTGACCTCAAAATAAAAAAGAGGTCATCTACTAATCATGACTAATCTCCATGCCAAATATGAAGACTGTAAGTCAAAGGAATCTTAAGTTATTGGGCAGACAAGCTTTTTATAGTCAAGGCCCCTTTGACCTTGACCTTTGATCCACTGACCTCAAAATCAATAGGGGTCATCTACTGATCATGATTAACCTCTATGCAAAATATAAAGACTGTGAGTCAAAGGTTTCTTAAGTTATTGGGCGGACAAGCTTTTTATAGTCAAGACCCCTGTGACCTTGACCTTTGACACAGTGACCTCAAAAGCAATAGGTTTCTTGTTCATTATATATTTTCAACTTTATTTTCTAAAGTGTAAACTTTAAGAAAACTGACATATTTAATAAATGTATATATTCTCGGGATATTTCAAGTAAAAACTAATTTTAAAAAGTACAAAGCAATATGTCGAAGAGTAAGCACATTTGCCCTAAAAGTTAAATAACAATACCGGGGTATGAGCTTATTTTCAGTTTTGGTTAGAGGTTGATATTTAGAGGTAGTATTTTTACTAACGGCTTACTCACACTGGCCATAGCTTTCGCAGAAGCGGTGGGTTCATCGTAGCGGCGGTGGAGTATTCGCCGCAGAAGCGGAGGATACAATACGGCCGTTTGCTGTTGTCGGTAAGTATATGACTGAATTTTGTTTTACGTTTTAATGTATTACTGGAAACACTCAGTGAGACTTGAGCCAACAAATGTACTCTTTCAACCTATTACACGAACACGGTGTAATTCATTGCCGTTTATGCAAACACTTCTGTAGAGTTTGATGAGAGGACGCCACTTTTGCCTAATTTTGGTTAAAACACATACAAATGTAATACAACGGCATCACATCGAATGAATGATAATTATTATTGCATGTTTGTAAAATAAATGACAAAAAATGTTTTCGTCGTAGACGGCGGTGAATTCGATTACAACGCAGTTTGGTGGGCCCGATACCATTTTTGTATATTTTAAGAGTTTAATTTGACATAACGCACTTTTCAATTGAGTACGGTTTTTTTCTTACTTTGACATCTGAGAAACGTGTTTATTTGATGTTTAAAGCGATATCAATTATTATATATACGCTCGTACAAATATATGTCCGAGGTCCGCTTTCATTTTCCTTCCATTAAAAATTACTTCAGCCATAATTATTATAGAATAATCCACGTTCAACAATTTATTGCGGGTTATTACTAAGTGTCAAGTATTTTTGAATGTGAATGCACCATTCCAGTTGAAAAAGTAAATGTCTGACACATGTGATATTTTGGCTGGATTCATCACATTTATGGAATTCCCTGCACATCGCTAAATTTCCTTTCGGTGATGCATCGAGGTCAAATATTATGACTCTTAGTTTCCGCCGTTTCCTCTACGGTCCGGGTTGTCAAATGCATGATCCCTAACATGAACTTGGAAATACAAATATGATTAAGGGCACTATATATGTTCTTACTTTCCTGCGCTTTTCAACTGGAATGGTGCATTCACATTCAAACAGCTGTTCCCTAATTAGGATCAACATTGACCAAAGTGTGTCCTACATCCAATAAAAGATTAAAAATACATGATTGAATTTGAGCAAGTATACTTTATAATGATTTACTTCCTGCAGGGACAATCTGTGTTTCTGTGTATTTTTCTCCAGTCATGTTTTGATCATTTACTGCTTTAACCTGGAACGTACAAAATTGTTATCACATTCCTTCTGTCAACTATCAAGTAAATTTCACACTGATATTCAAGCTATCACCATTTATAATTCAAAAATGTAACATCCTTCTTACATATGATGAACAAATGATAAATTACACAGGTAAAATGAGCGAGAGAAGTCATTTGAATACATTTCTAAAAATACCGACAAAGACTCCAATAAAAGTTTCTCAGGTAAAAAATTTTTCCTTTTCAAACTACAATTGTAACTTTTGTCACTGAAAAAAAATGTTGGAACATTAAGGTTTCATATTGATTTAGCTCGCATTCATAAAATCGGCAAAACAATGTGAATTCGAAAGACCAAAAATATATATGAAAGCAATGGAAAATGGGAGAAACCGGTTACAAAAGCCATACATTTATGTATTTGAAAGTTTTAAGTATTTTGGACGAGTAAGAAATCATGTGAACAAGACATCAAACATGAGACGGTCACAAACCTCAAATGTATATGACTCTTCTGGAATAACATTGACGAACGTTTCATAATAATACAGTTGAGAAAGTTGGTGATCAAATATTTTTACATCTCTATTTTCCTGAAAATAAGGGAAGGAGTACCAGTCAGTTTATCAGTATATGCTTAAAACTATGTATTGTCAACGTTACAAAATTCCTACAGTTTTATTACTGTTTCGATATAAAAGGTTTAAAACCTTATCTGAAATAACTTGCAGCAGTATCTAAATTTGGAATTGACAAATGTACTGTAACGTTTATGAGGTAGTCATATGATATTAATATAAACAAGGCTAACGTTGGTTTGAAATGGCATGCAACAAGTTATGTATATTAAAGATTAAAGACATAACACTTCTGACAATCTGAACATTACAATTATATTTTTCATTACATATTAATTATTTGTACTGAAATTATCAGTTCATTGCGTATTAAAATGTTTTAAGGAAAAAGAAATTATTTCAACAAAGAAGAAAAAATGTATAACTGTATGCCGAACATAAAATTTTCCTTTTGTGTTTTCTTCAGTTAGCTATGGAAAATGTTCATGAAAACTAACAAGTTTTTGGTCTTGAAAATACAAAAAGCTTTATGATTTTATCACACTATTCTGTAGCAATATGTCTTGGGCTTGCCTGCTTATCTTCATCCTTGTATAATTTCCACCAGGACTGGTTGTGAGAACAAAATTTGAAACTTTTCCTGGTGCTGAAATATATGCATATATATCATACTTTTATTTCTTTAACATTTACATTTACTTTGTATGCCATAACAAAAGAAGACTCCCATATCAAGGTTAATTTGTCATGAGCTAAATTGAATAACACAAATCTGTATTATTATAAATATTGCTAAAAATATATGTGTTAATTTGTATTTTAGAACCTTTGTAACGTAGCATGTACATTTTAAGACATTAAGTGAACATTAAACGCTACGATAAGAAAACTTCCATTCTAAGTTTTAAAGTGTAACTATAACAAGAAATACTTACTTACTGATTGCATATATACTCAATCTAAAAGACTGAACATTACACAAAACAATTAACACATATTTAAAGGGTGAACATTACACGATATAATAAGAATGAGTAAATACAAAAATTTCAACGGAGAACATTACAATAAATAAACAGAATACTGACTTTCACAATCACGAAGAGTGGAATTACTTATTTACCATTAATCTTATAAATACATGAGCACCATACTTGAATCATACTATTGAACATATGTTTCAGAGTTAAATCGATTACCTATATAAATGCACAGTGCGTAAACTGAAGTAGTATTCCAGTTACCACACTGTCTGTCGGAGATTGAAATAGTTCATGCTCGTTGATTGGCTGGATTTTATCTGTGGTTTACTTATTATGAAGACAGAGAAAAGGATCATAATCAGATGCTCGAACATTGATTTTGTTTATTTATTTTGGGGTTTCATATTGTGACGACAGGGAAGTGTTGTTTTAATTACCTATAATACAAAAGAGAAAACCATCAAAACATTTGGCACTCTGATTTATACTAGGGGCAGGTCGATATATTTGGGATCAGAATTTTATATTCTGATATACCTCCTATAATTTCTATATTTTCCTACCGTATAAGTACTTTTTATGCCTGAACTTTATTTCTGCGGTTCATAACGACAATCGCAAAGACTAAGCAGTTTAGCTTTTTATTATGGAACGTTCAGGGGATTAAGAATAAACTAGACGATCCAGATTTTTTGAATTTCGTTAAATCATATGATATACTATTGTTGACTGAAACATGGAACTCCAAAACAGCAAACATTGATATTGATGGATATTACTCTTTTGTTTGTGCGAGACCAAAAACAAACCGTAGAGCGAAGCGTTTTAGTGGAGGAGTTATAATATACTATAAGGAAGAGTATCGAAATAAAATTGATCCAATAAGCTTAAATTCAAACGGTATTGTTTGGTTTAAATTAAAGAAAGAACATTTTGGGACATTTAATGACCTTTATTTTTGCACATGCTATATACCCCCTGAAGAATCTAATGTATATAAAAATGTTAGTTCTAACTTATATCAATTCGATTTTTTCGAACAGTTAAATACTGACATAGGGCACTATAGTTTTCTTGGTGACGTATTTTGACAGGTGACCTCAATTCAAGGACAGGTCAAAAACCCGACTTCGTGCAAGATATTAATCTTGACCGTTATATCGATTTACCCGTGAATAACCAGTCCGTAATTGATATTCCTGCACGCATTTCTCAAGATAATCATGTAAATGGATTTGGTAATCGTCTGATATCCCTTTGTAAAGAAAATGACATTATTATTGCAAATGGTCGCCTTGAGAGAGGTGAATTTACCTGTCATAATTTGAGTAGCAAAAAAAAATGCAGCTAGTGTTGTAGATTATCTCATAACGAGTTACACTAATTTTCCTTGTATATCGAGTATGAATGTGCATAGTTTTACTGAATTTTCCGATCACCGCCCAGTATCTTTTTCTATGAATATTGAAAATAACTTTTTCTATATGACTGATATTTTTACGTATGATAAAATTGTATGGGAAAATACAGACCAAGAACAGTTGCAAATTTTATTAGAGGAAAATAGATATACATTTGATGAGTTGTCACATAAACTGAACACAGGTGAAATTGATTTAAATGTATGTATAAATATATTTTCAAAGACAGTATATGATATATCTTTTAGGTTGAATGGTCGAACCTACACAAGTCAAAAAAGAAAACATATTAAAAAGAAGAAAGCCCCATGGTTTAATGAACAGTGTAAAAGTGCTAAGGCTATTTTTCAACGCAATAAGAGAATTTTTTATTTTGATAAAACTGAAATAAACAAAGTTAATTTTCTTAAAAGTAGGAGTGAGTATTCAATTATTAAACGGGCTGTTAAACGTTCATATTATATTAAAGAGAGGTCCAAATTAAATGATATGAGTAAGAAAAGTCCAAGGAAATTTTGGAAGTACATAAATAAGTTTAAAAATAGTAAAAAAATCTAAATCATCAGATGTGAGTACAAATGATTTCGTAGAACATTTTAAGAATATTTCTAATACAATGCAAAATGACTTTTCATTTGACGATGTACATGAAGTGAGGTATGAGGAGGTAAACATTGATGAGCTTGATCGTCCTTTTGATATTGAAGAGGTTACAAAAACAATTGCATCTATGAATAGGGGCAAAAGTTGCGATTATGACAGGAATGTAGCTTGATTTTTTCATCGATTCTAATAGTTTTATCTCCCCATACTTGTTTCTATTTTTAATAAAATTTATGATTCTGGTTTATACCCAGAAGCTTGGTGTAAGGGTATAATTGTACCAATTCACAAAAAAAGGCGATGTAACAAATCCTTCTAATTACCGAGGTATTACCCTTGTGAATGTTATAGGTAAAATATTTTCTTTATTGCTTAGAAATAGATTGAATAAATGGTGTGAGCAAAATCATGTATTAAATGAAACACAATTTCAGAGATAGTCATTCTACCGCTGACTGTATATTTTTCTTCATTCCATCATTCAAAAAGTGTTGACTAATAAATCGAAATTGTATTGTGCATTCATTGACTATGAAAAAGCGTTCGACACAGTTGTTAGAGATGCCTTATGGGTAAAGCTTTTAAAACAAGGTGTCAGCTGTAAAATGGTTAATATTGTTAAGTCTATATATGCAAATGTTAAATCTTGTGTACAAGTGTCTGCTATGAATTTTTCAGAGTTTTTTGACGTGGCTATAGGTTTAAAACAAGGGGAACCACTCTCGCCATTATTATTTATTCTTTTCGTTAATGACATTAAGGAAAATATTGATTTTAACCTATTAACTGAAAATGACCTAAATCAGTTAAATATGTATATGCTTCTTTTTGCTGATGATATTGCTTTATTCACAACTAACCCTGAATCTTTGCAAGCTCAGTTAGATGTTGTTAATAACTATTCTATAAAATGGGGCCTTAAAATAAATGTTAATAAAACAAAGATATGTATTTTTGAGAAAAGAAGACAAGTAAATAATTTTGTGTGGAAAATTAACGATGAAGAAATTGAGGTAGTAGATAATTTTACTTATCTTGGTGTAAATTTTACTTATACAGGAAACATGAAAAAGTCTGTTAAAGCTTTGTCAGATCAAGCTCTTAAAGCATATAATTCACTTTTGTCTCTTTTTGATAAAGTAAATTTTGATATAAAAATGAAGCTTGCACTTTTTGATTCTTTGGTTGTACCAATTATTCTCTATAGCTCTGAAGTATGGGGTATTTATGATTTTCCTGAAGTTGATAAAATACATATAAAATTTTGTAAACTTGTTTTGGGTGTTAAACAACAAACTCCTAATTTAGCTGTTCTTGGTGAACTGGGTTGGTACCCACTTTCTGTTATTTGTTAAGAAAGAGCTATTAAATATTGGTTAAAAATAATGAAAAATCAGGATTCACCTATGTATAGATTATATTTAGATCATAGCAATGGAAATAATGTGAATTGCTGGGCGTATAAGATTAAACAACTGATTGACAATTTAGGCTACAGTAATCTTCTAGTGAATTTTAGGCAAGATATAAATTATTTTCCTGCTATGAAACAACGTATTAGAGATCAGTTTATACAATCTTGGAATGAGACAACATTGAATATGTCTAAATTAGATTACTATAGAAAGTATAAAATATGTTTTGGTTATGAAAGATATCTGAGCATTATAAGAAACGATAAATTACAAAAATGTTTAACATGTTTCAGAATGTGTTCGCACAAGCTAGAAATTGAATTCGGAAGATTTAGTGGTTCACAAAGAGACGAGCGAATCTGTAAAATGTGTAATACAAAAATGATTGAATCAGAATATCACTTTTTATTAACTTGTCCTGCATATGTTGATTTGAGAGCTAAATATTTGGGTAATTGTTCATGGCCCAATGTACATAAATTTGTTAATATTATGTCTTGTAGTAGTAAATGTAAGCTGTATAAAACTGCAAAATACATATATGAGGCTTTCCAGTTAAGGAAGATATGTCTAGAAACGGAAGCTGCTTCTTAAACTTTGAAAATGTACACGTTTGTTTGTATGTTTATATGCTTATCTTGTAAACTATGTATGTTATATGTCTTGGCCATATTCGTCATTTGTATTTGTTAAATTGGCTAAAGGTATGTTAAATATGCCAATTTGCCAAATAAAAACTGAAAACTGAACTGAACTATATGTGTCGGAATATTACAACTACCGGTATTGTTTAATTACATTACCATGTATCGTTATCGTTTTTTTTTTGTAGTGATTAACAGTGTTGGTGCTCGGCCATTAAGTTCACGTTATTCCAAGGGAGTTTACAGATTCTTTTTTGGCAATTACAAAAGACTCAAGCCGCAATTACAACAAACTCATGCCGCGCGATCAACGTACGACAAAACGATGACCGCCCGGTGCCTTTGCATGAATCGTCCGGGTACCGGGCGATACCGTTCGCCAACTGGTGTCTATTCGGGCGCCAGGCGGGACTCGGGCGATGTCCGCTCGGTTGCCTTAAAATCGGTGTTTTGTATAAAAAGACAATCGTCCGTTCAAAAAAAATAAAAACAAAACACACAAACAAAAAAGCGTTGAAAGGGGCGCCGCCCGTCGATGGGGCGATCCCCGCC